TCTAAAACGGCAAAATCCGAAACGATGTCTGAAATAGAGTACAAAATGGGTTTTCTGGACAATCTTTCTGACATAATATATATAGGGGATCACAATACGTGTCAGATATGATGCATTTAATAATATGGGACCGAATACATAAATGGCCCCTATGGCATGGCGGATAGGGCAAATGAGTCATTTATAGGGGACTTAACTGAAAAAGTTAACACATTTAGTAAAAATGACCGTCTTTGTAAGATTTTGAAACCACAGGGAGCATCTATGCCAAAAATTCGTCATAAGAACTAAAGTTGATCGATTTTGTCAACCACATGAACTATTTTTTTAATTTTGTCTAATTATGTATTTTTAGATAACAAACTAATGCTATAAAAAAAGTAAAGAAATATGTGATTATCAAACTATGAACTAAAAAACTATAACGGCATCATAAAGTGTTTTAAAAATAGAGACAATTACTAATCTAGTCAAATTAAGTAAGTGATTAACAATTTTTAGCCAAAAAAATTAGGATTTGTCTCAAACTAGCCCACGAAACCGTAGGTGCTTAAAATGACCTACTGTTTCGCCCATTTACCTACTGTTTTGATTTTAGTATATAAAGATTTTTTTTTCATTTTTCACTACGAAACCGTAGACGAAAAAATGGTCTACTGTTTCTTCTGAGAAGTCTACCGTTTCCCAAAGAGTAGATTAAAAATGATCTACTGTTTCGTCTAAAACCTACGGTTTTGGGTTTTTTTTTTAGTATTTGACTACTAATTCATGTATTTTGACTACTATATCATACCTACTATATATTAAAAGAAAAATCTCTTTTAGAGTAAAAGTTAGTGTTTTTTTTCCATCTTAAAAAAAATAAAAATAAAAATAAAAAACAATAATTTTTGGACGAAACAGTAGATCATTTTTAATCTACTCTTTGGGAAACAGTAGACTTCTCAGAAGAAACAATAGACCATTTTTTCGTCTACGGTTTCGTAATGAAAAATGAAAAAAAAATCTTTATATACTAAAACCAAAACAGTATGTAAATGGGCGAAACAGTAGGTCATTTTAACCACCTACGGTTTCGTTGGCTAGTTTGGGACAAATCCTAATTTTTGGTTAAAAAATGAGAAGTCATTAATGAATTTGGTTAGATTAGTAATTTTCCCTTAAAAATATCATTAAATTAAAAAAAGACAAAATATATTTGGGTGCAAATAAAGTGAGCCGAGCACGAGTTTGACTAGGCTCGAGCTCGGTTCGTTTCGATCCTTATGATATGGAGCTTGAGATTGGCTTGTAAAGATTTATACATGTTCGACCTCGGCTCGTATACAAATATCCTAATTCCTTAAAATTATACTTATTAAATAATTGCTAATTTTAATATATAAAAATAAAAATATTTTTTTATTATTATATGTAGACTCGTTTAAGTTCATGGACGTAATCGAGCTTAGTATAGGGGTGACAATTGTTGACACGACACGACAAAAATACACGACACGAAACGAAATT